CTTAGTGGAGTCTTTATCTGGTTTTGGTATTAGGGTAATTCTGGCTTCATAGAATGAATTTGGAAGTTTTCCTTCATTTTCTGTTTTTTTGGAAAAGTTTGAGACTAAGAGGTATTAACTCTTCTTTTAAATGTTTGGTAGAATTCACCTGTGAAGCCATCTGGACTTTTGGTCCTGGACTTTTGTTTGTTGGGAGAGTTTTTTGATTACTGATTCCATTTTTTGCTGGTTATTGGTCTATTCAAGTTTTCTATTACTTCCTGTTTTAGTTTTGGTAATTTATGTGTTTCCAGGAATTTATTCATTTTTTCCAGGTTGTCCAATTTGTTGGCATATAGTTTTTCATAATATTCTCTTATAATTGTCTGTATTTCTGTGGTGTGGTTATTTATCCTCTTTATTTAATTTATTTGGGTCATTTCTCTTTTCTTTTTGATAAGTCTGGCTAGAGGTTTATCAGTTTTATTAACTTTTTCAAAGAACCAGCCCCTGGTTTCATCGATCCATTTTTTTAGTTTCTATGTCATTTATTTCTGCTCTGATCTTTATTATTTCCTTCCTTTTGTTCGTTTTAGGCTTCGTTTATTGTTCTTTTTCTAGCTCCCAGATTTCCACAGTCCTGACCTTCTGTTGTTGCATGCCTTGCTACTTTCCTCGTTTATAAGCCCTACGAACGCATCTGCTTCTGACACCTTTGAATCAGCAGGTCTCTTCACTGTGGGATTTTTCAGTGGGAACTAACTCTGGAGTGTAGCATTTCTCATTTGCACAACTGTAAACTTTTTCCCCAGGAAACTTCTTTCATGACTAGTATCTCAGAGAACATTTTTTTGGGAAACACCAACCACTTTAGGCTCCTTGTTACAGCCGGTTGAAAGCTTTGCAGATGCTGTATTTGTCTTCCAGTCTATTAGTTATCCATCCCAGCTTTGCTGTCATGGGCAGATGGGCCAAGCCTGCTTTCCATAACTTCTTTTTTTGTGAATAAAAATGTCTGGCAGCATAAAAAACACTAGTGACATACCAGTGAAAGCCTCCTCCCAGGCTACCACTGATGTATTAAGTAGTCCTTTGAATATGAAAACTTTTTAACTTTGTCACATACCTTGCTAAAAATTTTGGACTTATGCTGTTTTTATGTCATTATCCTGATTTCCCAGCTTCTTAATCTTATTGAAAAATAAATGAGATTAATGTACCCAACTAATGCTGGCCTGGATTATTCATCAGGTCCTTTTGTAAGACCTCAGATTTACTTCAGAAATTACCGAGGGGCGCCTGGGGGGCTCAGTTGGTGAAGTGTCCAACTCTTGATTTTGGCTGAGGTCATGATCTCACGGTTCATAAATTTGAGCTCTGCGTCGGGCTCTGCGCTGAAAGCGCAGAGCCTGCTTGGGATTCTCTCTCTCCCTCCCCCCTCTCTACCCCTCCCTCATTTCTCTCTTTCTCTCTCAAAATACATAAATAAGTTTTAAAAAAGAAGTTACCTAAAAAAGTATCTGAGGACAGTTCTGCTCTTCCAGTTAAATAACATCTCTCTTCTCTACCTTTCCCTTTGTGTGTGCTCCTCCTTTCTCTAATATCCTAAATTTTTCTAATTTGAGCTTTGTTGCTTTGTTACCTTTCCTTATAGACGGTTTCCTGTAACTGCAAGATCTAGAGACTCTCATTCTTTCTTGTCTGAGATAAACCAAGCAGCACCAAAAAATTTAGCAGTTACAGCTTCTTGCCTCTAAAAGTATAAAAGTGGGGCACCTGGGTGGCTTAGTTGGTTAAGCATCGGACTTTGGCTCAGGTAATGATCTCACAGCTTGTGAGTTTGAACCCCGTGTCAGGCTCTGTGCTGACAGCTCAGAGCCTGAAGCCTTCTGCAGATTCTGTGTCTCCCTCTCTCTCTGCCCCTCCCCTGCTCACACTCTGTCTCTCTCTCAAAAATAAATAAACATTAAAGAAAAAAAAAGATACTTCAGCATCTTGTGTGTTACAAAGACTTAGCATGTCATGTTATAATGAATAACATGCATGTTTGATAAATTTAAGAATGAGAAAAGTTTACACTGGGTATTGAAGGCAGGAGAGGATTTCCATTCTGGTTATGTAGTAAGTTCATGGGATATTGTTATTTTACTATGATTTAAGAATGGAGCTATTTCATATTATCCTTTTAGATGAAAAGATTTGTTCAGCTAATAATATAGTCCATGTGTTTTAAAGTTTTAATGACCCTTTCTTTCATAGACACAGCAATAGAACTGAGGCTGAATAAATTCATTTCTCTGAGAAGTGATTTCTGAGTAACTAATGTTTTTGGATTTTACCACCAGAATTTCTTGGAGACGCCTACCCAACCTGCGATCTATCAGAAAGTGGATATGACTGGAAGTTGTGTGTGACAGCTATCAATAGTTGTATCCGTAGTCTTAGATGTGACTTCAAGAAGTCCACATCCAAAGCATAGCCGCTTCCAGCAACAAACCCTTTAACAGAGTCAGAGCCAAGAGATATTGACTGACTGAAGTACTTGAATGTCAGCCATTCTAATTCTACATTTTTTTTTACTGCTGTATCATCCTGTAAGTTTCTCAAGTTATAATTCCAAAATTAGCTTGTTGTAGTGGCAGTGTAGTTCTGCATTCACAACCAAAGAAATATCCAGTGTTCTTTTTCTGCCCACATAGAATTGCATTAGGAAGAATTGCGTTAGGAAGATGTGTAATGTTTCATCTCATGAACAAAGTGATGGGCGGCATTCTGATAAGAACCTCTAATTAAGGGAATGGTAGTAAACTCCTGAAGGTTGTTTTCACTGCTGTTTTAATATAGAATGAGAATAGCACATTTAGCTCTTAGTGACAGAGGAAATCTGAGCACCAGTGACACAGTGGTAAGGTAGAGAGCCATAGTTGGATAGGCAAACCATAATGCCAAGTGTAGGAATTTGTAGGTAGTGGATATTCAATATTTGTCAAGTGAATCGTCACTGTAGATCTTACACCTGAGCTCCACTGACTCAGCAGGGAGGTATGGTTTGCACATAACCAAATCTCCCATGTTGGTTTTCTTATACATCCATCCATAGGGGATTCATAGGATTGACATCTCATTGTTTGACCCAAGCTTTCCAGACATGAGACCTATGTTTTTTTGACTTACTCCTGATTAAAAAACAGCATTCTTCTAATTACCTCCAGTTAATATTTTATCACAGCAGTTTTCTAAGAGTCAACATAGAAAATCCTATCAGGTGGCTTTTTGGTTCCATTGAAGTAATTTAAATTTAAGAATATATCACTATGAATAAAAAGAATCTGACCAGATTAAGACACTAACATTTTTGTTGTTGTTTCTGAAATGTCTGGGTGAAGGTTATAAACAGACCGTGTTTTTCTGATTGATTTTACTGTTGAAATGCATACAAATTTAAATCTTACAGTGTTTAAATGAAAAAAAAATTGATCAGAGATTCAATTAGAAAAAAGTGATCTTAAAGGATATTGGCAAGAATATTGGAGAATGAAAAAAAATTCCATTTTGCTCATGAGTAGGATTTTATTTTTAGCTTAAGCACTTTAAAGTTCTTGAATGTGTGAGCCATAGAAATACTGTATAATTTCATTGTTTGATCATTTATGTTTAAGAAACATTTTGTCAAAAAAGAGAAATATTCCGTTAGTTATAATGCCATCTTTTAGCTTTCAACCTATCAAATGGTCTTCAGTTACATTCATTTTATAGCATCTTTAGTTATTGTTAAGAAGCAAATTTTTTTCCTTGTGGGAGTTCACTCTTTATCTGCAGTCATTTGCTTATGACCCATGGATTTTCCTAGATAAGTTTTCTGATCCTAGATCAGTTTTTTGATAAGGCAAAGAAGAAATTCAATAGAAAGTAATAAATAGGTCAGTCAATGTAATTTGTGTGAAAGTTGACAAGTCTTGTTATTTTGGTGACTTGTGAAATAGTTTAGGATTGTTTTATATGGTTAATTTGTAGAATAGATACACTTTTCAAATGACATTATCTTTTGAAAACTCAACTTAGAATATTTTAGTGAAATATGGTATAATTAATTTTAGAAAAATAAGATGTAAGATATAATTTTTATGACTCTGTTACCCAAATATATAATTTGCTGTTAGTTGCCTTTAGGTTAATAAAATTATAGTATTTCTATGCATATCTTTATATGTTTAGGCTATGTTACAGTGATCTTAAAAAGTAAATAATTCAAGTAAAAAAAAATCTTCCATAGAGGGCCAAAGAGTTTGGACAGAGTTATTCAGATTAATTCATCTAAAATAATCTTTGGCCTCACCATTCAGTTTCACAAATAATTTTACAAACTACTGGTAATATAGCTAATACGGAAAAGTAATAAAATTATATCTTAGACAAGGTTAAATTTCAAATTTTATATGCAGATTTCAAATTTGATTTTTATTTTGTGTTATCTGAAATATCCCCTGGATTAGAAGCAAAATTACAAGAACAAAAACTTTATATTCACCAAAAGTTTCCAAGATTTACATGGTTAACTTTATTAGGGTGGCTGCTGATATAAGTTACTAGATCAGTCCTGTCTAATACTATTACCAACATAATGGTAATGTCACTAGCCACGTGTAGCTCTTAAACACTTGAGATGTGGCTAATTAGACAGGAACTAAATTTTAAAACTTTACCACATTTTAGCTGATTAAAAATTAAAATAGCCACATGTGGATAGTGGGTGCTGTATTGGCTACAACAGTTTATAATACCCATTATTTTTTTTTTTAATTTTTTTTTAACGTTTATTTATTTTTGAGACAGAGAGAGACAGAGCATGAACGGGGGAGGGTCAGAGAGAGGGAGACACAGAATCTGAAACAGGCTCCAGGCTCTGAGCTGTCAGCCCAGAGCCCGACGTGGGGCTCCAACTCACGGACCGTGAGATTGTGCCCTGAGCTGAAGTCGGACGCTTAACTGACTGAGCCACCCAGGTGCCCCCCCCTTTTTTTCCCATTATTTCTTTTAAGAAAGTGTTTAAAATGATTTCTTAGTTTGAATCATAATATACGCACAACTTATTTTTTTTTGTGCACAACTTTACAGTCACACTGGTTGAGCAAAATAAATTTCATAAAGGTGCTGCATATTTTATTTTAAACTAAATGAAACCTTTTGTCTTCAAAGTGTCACAGGATCACTCCATTATTGTATTAGTTCAATGTTAAAGATTTTAAATGGCTGTTCATAAGACTTGTGTTTGATAAATAAGTTTATCTTTCATATGTCGTCTTATTTTACAAATAAATACAATAAATATTTAAAATATTCTTAATACTGATGCTTTGGTTGTTCTTTTACTAATGCAATCCACAATGTTTTTTTTTTTTTTTAAATTAATAACATATTTTTCATCCCGTTCCATAAAAGTGGTACAGTTAGAATGTTTACTTTCTTGCTTAATAAGCAAAATGGAATAGTTGAACCCAGCAACAGTGACTTACTATTGTGGGTATAGTCATAAGGATATTGAAAACTTTGGAAGTGTTTTACCCTTCTTGGGTAAAAAAGAAGTGTTACTAAAGCATAATATCATTTTATACTTTAATATTTATTTAAATATATGACACATTTTTATTTGTAATAAAATAATAACATTGGGACGGGACGGGAAATTAAAAAATAATAACTTAGGGTAAAGGAGGTAGTGAGCGTGAACGTGGTTTAGATTGCCACTGTTCCGGAGTGCTGCAGAGATGGTCCTCTACTAGATGCAGAAATGATCTCTAAAGACAAGTGAAAAACAGCTGAAAATCCAAGCCTTACTGGCCAAAGGCCACGTAAACTGTTACCATATATTTAAGTAACAATGTTATTGCCACCTGCCGTACCTGCTCCGCCCCGCGGGCAAGCAGCCCCGCCCACTTATGGCTGCGCTCAGGTACGCAGGCGCAGGCTTCAAGCTGTTCCCGCCAGTGCCTCTGGTATGGCGGGAGACGGCCTCCTCGACGCGGGTGCGGCCGTGACTCAGTACCCGGCCGGGGCCTGGGCGGTCGCGGCTCCAAGGTGGCACAACTCCTTGTTTGAGGACCAGGGTCCGGCAGACGTGCACCCTGCCGAGTCGAGTTCCTCAGGTGAGCAGCACCCCCGCTTGGGGCTACAGCCTCGGCCGGCCGGTCCGCGTGCTTGTTGAGACCGCCCACGCCCTTTCTCAGCCCGCCTCAGATTCTCCTGCAATCCCTGCGGGCCGAGACCAGAACGGGGGCTCCCGCGAAGCTACCCACGGTGCTGGGGCACCGCTTGTCGCCCGGGCTCTCTTCCCAGGGAAGGAAGGAACCTGAGGCTCAGGAAGGCCTGTCCGTGTGGTGCTCGCAGGTCTGGGTTAGGGGCGCTGCGGTCCGTGTGTAGTTCTCTTACCCATCTCGGGCGGTCTGCCTTGGTCTCTGTGGTGCAGGGGGGTGCCTCAGCCTCAGCCGGTGCTTCAAGATTCTCCCAGTGGTCTTGTTCAGGAATGGTTGTTCCAGTGAGGGACGGTGAAATCACAGACCTGTGTGTTGCCGTCTTGGTGACATCACTCTTAATTTCTGTTTTGAACCTCTACGCGCTGCGGGTAGAAACTTAGCCTTAGTCATTCAAGGCTTTTGAGTTTGCCGAGAATGCAAGTGAAGAGCCCAGGAGGTGAACAGAGGTAGGTCTGGGAGAATACCAGTGGGTGGGTATTTTCATCCTTTTCTCCAGAATTGATTCTAAGTTTAAGTGGTTTTATACAATGCTAAGAGTGAGGAGGGGGTTCAGAATCAGGTTATTGTCATTTTTCTTAGCCATCATCAGCTGAGATAACTACTTGACTCACCTGGTCTTTAGCCATTGACCCAGAACCATTCTTATTCTTGTCCGCAAGACCCATTTGGGTGGAGAAGCTCCTGTCTCTGCTCCTTCCAAGTTCCCTTCAACCTGGTGGGAATCATTTTGCTGCTGCTTCATTATTTTGTGTCACAGGCCGGGTTTTGTTTTGTTTTTAAGTTTATTTGGGGGCGGGAGGGGCAGAGAGATGGAGAGAGAGAGAATCTCAAACAAGGCTCTGTGCTGTCGTGGAGAGCCCCACACGGGGCTCCATCTCGCCAACCTTGAGATCATGACCTGAGCTGAAATCAAGAGTTGGTCACTTAACTGATTGAGCCACCCAGGCACCCCAGGAAAGGAGTTTCATCCAGTTCTCCATAGACTTCCATGTAGGACTGGGTACATAATTTGCAAGGCCCAATGCAAAATGATGAATTCAATTTTGATACTGTTTAAGTAACACAGTTTTATATTTTAACATTTTATTTTGGGATAATTTTGAACTTAGAGAAGAATTGTAAAAATAGTACAGAGTTCCTATACACCCTTCACCCAGCTTCTCATAATGTTAACAGCTTTAATAACTATGGCGCAATTATGAAAACTCAAATTAACATTGGTTCAATATTATTAACTCCAGACTTTTTGTATTTTGCCAGGCTTTCCACTAAAGCTCTTTTT